GACAGTGTATCCCCTCTCCTGGGGTCCCCACAAGGCTGTTACAGTTCAGAAATTCTAATCAGAGAACTGAGCTCAGAAAATCACAGCTTTCTCCAGGCAGCACATGTCTCATGTCTCTTGTATGTAAAGCAATGTGCGGCCAGGCATTTAATGGTACAGTACATACCTGTATGTAATACTATTATGTGCCCTGACAGTGGTAATGAACACCTGTTCTGTACTGTGCATTCTAGAATCATTTTAATGTGGACTTCCCCACTTAGAAAGAAAATCAGTGAATGCTCCGACTCACAGGCAACAACATCCATTCTCCTCTGACATCTCTTGGTGATGAAGCATCATTTGTTTAACTTTCTTTGAAAAATACTGTCTTCAGTACATCACGGCTCTCCAACGCAGCACCAGAGTGCTAGTGAGAACAGTAGCATGAGCCGAAGGCATCAGTTTAGAAGGGAAACAGAAGGTTAGTAAATGCAACAAAAGAAACAAAACCCCAAACTCACTACCCCCAAATTAATCCTCACTCAGCGGCCCCACAGGCCAGGGCAGAACCATACAGCAGGCTTTCCATGGTGGCATTATCTTTACAGACGCAGATTACATCTTTCTTGCACAAAGCAGCTGGTGGATTCAAACCACCAACCACAAAGTTAGTAGCGAAGCAGGTCACGGAATGAATGTTATCACGAACATGGAGTGACAGCTGACTCCCAAAGACTGTGCTTCTCGATTACTCCGTTCTCTGTTTCTTTGACAACCCTGCAAGGCAGGAATGTGCCGGTGCTCACTGTTTACATGGTTATTCATTTACCCATTCCAAAGCTTTGTGCCAAGAATGGAGGCAGTCTAAGACCTTGGAAGTATTTCACTGATGAGTGAGAGAAACAGAAGTGAAGGTGCTTTAAAGGGGTGTTTGATGCCAAAAAAGAAAACAAGTGGGAACTAGGTGAATGACTTGAGTACCACGAGGCAGAAACGTACGGATACTTCACACAGCAGCCAACCTTGTTTATTGAGAAGTCCTCATTTTATTGCCCATTTAGTAACATGTTTGTTCCACAAACTAATTTTTCATAAAGCAAAGCACAACTTTTTTCTTATAAATAGTATAAATTATTTTATTTACAGAAACTTGTTACAAAACAAATAGACTATATATTTCTTCTCTTTTAAATATCGAAAGTAATTTTCTATCCCTTGCCATTTGTTCCTGTTCTATACAGCAGCCCACACCAAGTCCAGCTGAGATGCTCTTGATTATGCGTACAAATGACCAAGCGAGCCACACATTTTAACACAGGAGACTGCTCTTAGAACCAAGCTTTAAAAAAACAGCAAAATGCTTTCTAGGCCCTACATTCACACTGACAGTATGTAGTGCTCATTTAAAATGATCTGAAAATGTTTTGCACAAAATATAAAAATGATTATTGTCCAAGAAACAAGGAAACTTTTAACAATCATTTTTCAAAGCCTAACTCCCCACCTCCCGCCGGACAGAGTAAGAGACATTAAGAAATTCCTTGGCAACAGAACTCTTACAGGAAGACAGCTGCCTTTAGAAATTACATTTTTCAAATTGTACATTTTTTTCAATGTTCTCAGAGGTACTTCTTTGCATGGTATTTTTGGAATATAAAATATTCTAAATATTCTATCTTAAACTGTTAGTTCATGAATGAATAACAAAACGGACACATCATGTAAATTGCTGGCTGAAAAAAGCTCTGTAATCCTTAGTGCCACTGGGCACTATCACCTGTTGAGTTACTAGGAACCAACAGGTTGGAATTTTAAAATACTTTATAAAATTACCAGCACGATGGTTTTCAACTTTTCTTCTGAAATTTTAGAAACAATATTCAGGTGGAAAAAGAAAAACTCCAAAGGTTCAACTGAACATTCAAGTCTTTTTAAAGAGGATCTGTCTAAGCATAGAACTAGGTATCAGGCACTTTCAGTATTTTCCATTAGTTTGAACCCACACACTCGCTAATACACATGTGCTCAGGTTGTCCACAATACAGAGACACACACCCACACATACTCACATGTCAAACATCAAAAGAAAAGCAGTGTGTCACTTAGAACATGTCGTCTCTCTGGAAATCAGGCAATGGGGGAGGAGCAATGCCCGCTTCATCTGTAGGAATCCACTCCCGAGACATTTACAGGGACAAAGATTTTCACAGAACAGAGGCATCCCTTAAACTGTAAAAGGAGGCAGGTTCTAGAACTATATTGGCTTGGCAGTGAACCACTTCAAATTATAAAAAGGTATTTACTTTTATTAATTAATAAATAAATACTAGATGATCTCAATTGTACCAAAACAGGATATATCAGAAAAAAAGACCTGTGCAAAAATACATATTTAAATATGTACAATTCATTTTTTAACAAAATATGTCTTCTGAAATAGGGATACTTCCATATTTATAATAGAACAAGAAATTCCAAAATAAAGATACAAAAGTAGGTTTTGTATAATTCTTTGTTCATCATCGCAGCACTTTGTTTTTTTCTCTGTAGGTTAAGAAAACTGCAGGAGTTGTCATGAAATTTTATTGGAAAGAATACAAAAAATTATCTTGGTTTTAAATTGATACCAAAGTCTGTCTAGAAACAACCCAACCACTGTAAATTTGGTTTTCGCAAGTTAATTTTAATAATAAAAAAAAATACTTGTACTCCCTTGTTTTAAATGGTCTTAATTGTTCATTATAATATAAAGTACTTGTTGGAGAAAATAAAATATTTTAACAACAGTCTAAAATTTAATAGCACTATTTAGAATAGGTCTGTTTGTGGCAGGCAGAATCCAAAATGGCTAATTTCCTAATCCCGACGCTCAGTGTGCGACCGGGAGACAGAGTGAAGTTCAATTAAAACCTCAGTGTTAGGTATCAGATGATCAACACTCTTTAATCTAAATACATACATTATTCCGAATCAACGTGCTATCATGGATCCTATTTGCATCTTTCAGAACATGATCTGTTTGTAAATTCCCACACTAAATGTAACTTAGAACCATCAAGTCCCCTCAGCTTTGAAAAGAAATTCTACCCTGACCCCCACTGAAGTTGTCCCCACGGAATCACACTGAGGTACACGGATCCCCCTTCCTTTCTCTCTTTCTCCCTCTCTCTCTCTCTCTCACACCTTGGGACGGAACAAGTATGCTGGTTTCTCCTAACTCTCACAGACTTGCCCATCCAAGCTTTCTCCCTACTCAACTCTCCTATAGTATCATTAAAAACATTTACTTACTGATTGCATAATAAGTGAACAAGATATTGTTCCCCCTTCCTTAAAAAAAATCAGTATTTTACATTAATTTATAGCTAAAGTATCTGCATAAAGTTCTTCTGTTGGTTTTCTTACATAACAAGAATAATTCTGTAGCGATTCACATTATTAGGCTGGTAACCAAGTACTCATTCTACACCTGCTGTTGACTTGAAATTCCCTGAAACTAAAGTTTGTAACCCAAGAACTGGAGGAAGAAGAAGATGCCCTGCATAGCCCTGGCCGGGCCCTGGCCAAGGCGATGAGCAGTGCTATGGAAAATTTACCCTGTTTTCGGCAACTTGTGTTCTTTTAGCAAAAATACCTGGTTCTTGTTTCAGGGGGTGTGGGGGTAGAATCACCAGTTAAAAAGGCCCTGGCTCATTCCAAAAACGAAAAGACACTTTCTTAAGCAACGATGTCTGAGCACATAAAGTTTTTTTGGGGAGTGGGATACTAGAAAACATGTCCTGGAAGGCTCCCAACTCTTCCAGGAAGATGGCTGGCATTAATCCCATGAAAGGAGGTGGCAGGAAAAGAATATATCTGCGTCACACAAATCCTCCACGTGGGTACACACACCAAGTCCCCCCTCGTCTCTCTGCTTAGCACCCCATCTACCTCTCAATATCTGAAGTGGCGTGAAGGGGTGTGCAGACGCGCGCGCGCGCACACACACACACACACACACACAAAAAATATAGGGAGTGCTTCAAGTGAAAATTTACATTTCTTTCCAGGGTGGGATCCAAAGAAGAGTCTAAGGTTGATACAGGGTGCCCTGGAGACAGCCACCCCTCTAATGACTTTGTGAATGACAGTCTCGGCCGCATCCTAATGGTTTCATTTGTAAAAGGCAACGTTTTGAAAATAGAAGTCTGGGTGAAACAACCAACCCAATATAACATACTGTTTAAACATGAAGATGGAAAGGATAATCAAATCCTATTCTTCGGAAATCTGAGAAAAATTCCGTTTCCTCCCTATGATTTTATTTTCACTCTTCTCCTCCAATTTGGCTTTTCTTTAGCAAAAAACTAGCTTGCATTTGTGTCATATGTTTAAAAAAACATATAGAAATGTTTGTGTACCATGAAGAGTAAGCCTCTAAGTTGGGTTCTACTTGCTCTCTGGGCATCGATCGCTTCAAACCAGTTTGTTACTTTGAAAATTTCGACAGTGTCTTATGTCAAGTCACTTGGGGGGAAAAAAAAGGCAGAGCAAAATGTTTTGTGTGGGCCCGGTGAGCTCACGCCTCCTCTGTTCCCGGCAGCCCACTGGCCTCCCCCGGCTGCCCAGGATGCAGCTCTTTCCTCTCCTCACAGAGGTGTGTCCAGTTATGACCCGACCACTGGAGGCGGGTGGACAGAAGACAGTGTAAAACAAGGAGATAAACAGGTGGAGTTGGCAGGGGTCGGGGGCAGTCTACAGAACCACTCTAGCCTCCTCTTCTGCCCAGTCAATTTACTCAGAGTGGCTCCATGACAAACAGCAAGTTAAAAACAAACAGAAACAAAAATTTCTCACAGATTGGTAGCAAGCAGTCCAGGCCACTTTAACACTGATGAGAGCAAGTCGGTGGCTGAACTTGATCCAGTGTCCTGTATGAGTACTCACTGCTAGAGAAACAGCTTCAGGGAAATCCTTGTAAAAACAACAGCCCGGCAGCTTCCTACCCTTGAGACCCACAGGAGGTTGGGAAAACAGACTCAAAGGCATCGTGGAGTCCAGAGTGTTGCGTGGAGGTGTAACTTGTCGGCAAAAGTGTCCAGATTATTCCTCCCCGGGCTGTTGTCAGCTGTCAGGGACGTGCCTTTGGCTTTCAAAAAAGAGGGGGAGGGGAGACAATGGTCACGGTCAGTAGGTGGCTGCACACGCTGCTGCCCTGATTTCAAACTAGAACCTTCCAAAGCCCACACGTCACTATAATTGCCAGAGCGGACAATGCCAGGAGCAAGTCCAGCTACCGCATTTGGTCTTAGCTTTAAAAACCCCTCACTGCCCTTGAGCACAATCATTCTAAAAGATTATCTTTTCGAGAATTAGCTCAGAGAGATACAGGACTGGGCCTCTGGCTTAGGGAAAAGGGTCACATGCTCGCCTTTCAGGTTTATTTACTGATCGCGTGTCCCTGAAGACATTCCAGGTTGTCAGCTGAGAGCTGCGCTAACAGGCAACCATGACAGGTGTGCTGAGGCAATGAGGGGTTCTGCCTGCCCTGCCCACGGCAGAGGCCCCCGAGAGCACACTGCAGGGGTGTCTGTCCATTTCCTTGGTGGCCCAGCATGCCCCACTTTATCCCCTGGTCTGGTGGCTTCAGCCATCCAGTCAGCTATCTCTGTTTCAAAGCCAGTTCTGTAAGGAAAAGCATGCTCAGGTCTTTAGTTTTCCCAAGAGTGGTAGCCTTTTGGGGTTTGTGGACCCTTTTGAAATTTTGCTGAAACTTTCAAGATCCCTCCCTGCATATGTATGAGCAAACATGAAAACGCAGAAAACTTTTCTGGGGGTTCATAGAGCCCCACCCCTAGGACTTGTGCTTTCTAACAGGAAATACCCCACTTCAAGAGGAAATCTTTCACAAACACCAACTTTAAGCTGAAACAGATTTTAAGGAACAGAAGCTAAAGTCAAGCTGTCGGGGTTTCACTGTGGCGAGTGCTCCCCTTTGCAGATGACGAACATCAAGAAGCAGCAAACTGGCAGCTCTCAGGCAGCAAACCTGGCCATCAGAAATATGTCTGGGCTATTTACAGATCAAAACCTAAGAAACCAAAAAAGCAGACATGGCCAGATTCCACAGAAAAGTCCAAAATCTGCAGCAACTCTCTCAGAATTATCTAGGTGAAAACGTGCACCCCTGAAGTGGGAAATGTGGCCAATTTTCCAGAGGTGTCATCACTCCCTCTGGAGTCCTCACAGCGTGTCTCCACTCATGGGGGCAATGTCGACATGAGGACACACGCGATGCTTGCTCAGTGCCGCACTGAGAGGACGACAAAGCTCAGCTGAACACCTGCCTGCCCTCACTCACGGCACCAACGGGACAGGCGGGCGTTCTGGCTGCACATGCCCTGCAGTGATGCTCATAAACTAGACAAGTAACAGCCTAATTCACACTTGTCCAGAAACCTTCTGATCAAATAAACATACAAAACCCACAAGTGTGTTTGAAACTCAAACTCAAGGCTGTAAGTGGTTTCTACTGACATTCACAGATAACTATTTTCCTCATACTTTTGGCAACGGGTGTCAATTAACAGAGATACTGGAGGGAAATGAAAATCACAGTAGGAAACTTCTTGGTATGTTTTCTTCTACTAAGGCACTTAAGTTCTGAATATGGCAAAGCAAAAAAAGAAAAATGCCAAAAAAGAGCCTCACATTTTAAATACAGATTCCAGCGTGATGCTGATGAAATTCCTGTTTGTAAGCTAAGTGCACTATCCTAATGAATGAAGTAAGAAGAGACGAGCTGGGGTAGTGAAGAAATGTGGATGAAACAGCTACCAGACACATCACACAAAACTACAGCAGAAGGGACACAGCTGTGCCTAACTCTGAACCCAGTGTCCACTGAGCCACGTCACCACGAACTGGCCAGATCAGCTTGCTTTCTAATTGGTTTTTTCCACCTGGGATTTTAGTCTTCTGCAGTGCTGGTGCTTAATCCCTCTGTCCCCTTTGTTCTGTCTCCCTTGAATATGGAGAAGAAAAATATGGGGTGAGATCTAACCACAAAATCTGAAATTCTCTGAAGTGAAAACATGAAAGGTTCTCGTATTTTAAGACTGAAATCACCCCTTTTTAGAACCATCTGTGTTTAGCCCAGCAATACTCAGGGGAGCCCCTAGGGTCAGCCCTCAGAAAGCACAGCAATCCTGTGATCACACACCAGTCCCCCAGAACAGTGCCTTGCTCGCTGCCCACAGAGAACTCCTAATTCCGACTCTGCTGCTGTGCATTTGTTTCCATAGCGCTGTCTGTTAAGCGCATTCCCCAGGAACATCTTCCAAAGTCATCAGAAATTCTCAGGGAGGAGCTCGTTTTACCTTTAAACAGCTATCAACTTTTTTGTAAAGACATCATGAAAGTGGATTTTTGTTTACAGGCAAACCAAGCAACCCAACCCAGATTTTCAAGTTGATCCGCAGGAGCGGAAGTGGACACTCACGGCTCAGAGCCCACGGCCTACCTGAGGAAGGAGGGGATTGTTCGTCAGTCCTTGTGCCCCTGGGATGGTGCCTGTGTGTTTCATGTGGACGTTGTTCATGGCCGGCAATTTGGCAACCTTGGTAGGTCTGCTGCTGCTGTTGTTGACGCTGCTCGAGCCGGGTGAGCACTTTCTTTTCTTTCCTATGAGTTTGTCGAGAGGAGTGTGTGTATGTGGAAAGCCGCTGTGAGAGCTGACAGTCACGTCGTTGGCCTGGTGGATGAACGGGCCCAGAGAAAGAGTGGAATCGCCGCTGTTGACCATCACACTCATCCTCTTGATGGACTCTGCAGGGCTCCCACCTGCGGGGCCCCTCCCTGCCTGCTCATGCCGGACGCTCACCGAGTTCGCTTTATTCGTCACACAGTTGAGGCCAATGTTATGGGAGGATGTCACCGCTGAGGGGTAAGGAGGCCCAGGCTGAGCCACACAGTTTTTCCTAAAAGACTCCATGGAATGAGAAGAAGAGGAACAGGAGGAGGAGATTCCTAAAAGACTCCATGGAATGAGAAGAAGAGGAACAGGAGGAGGAGAAAGGGTGAACTAACAGTGGGGAAGTGTTTTTGCGCTTTTTTCCTGAGCCGCCACTGTTACCGCTACTGGAGCTGGGACAGTTCGTGCTGCTCCCAGGAGGCTCCTTGGGCCTTAGAGACTTGCTGGATTTCAACTTCTGAGGTTTCCTGGACATGGGGGAGGAGGGCATGGAAGGGGATGCGGACGAAGAGGACACTTGTCTGGCCTGCATACTGCACACAGGATCCATGGCTCCGGAAGGCGCAGGCTGGGCATTTAGTGTGGTTCCATGAGCTGGTACCGATTTGCTATTTAGGGAGATGCAGGTGGATGAGGGCAGGACCGGGGATGGAGAAGTGGTGGGTGCTGCAAGATGGCTGGTACCAAACTGGGGCGTCAGCACGGAGTTTGTCCGGTGAGGAACACGTGTGGAGACGGGTGATGTGGTACGGGGCACTGGTGGGATTTTTCTGGAAAAGGAAGAGAGCAGGTGGTCACTGTTAGGGGCACAATCACCCATGAAATCTTTCACATGTGTTATCTACTTACCTCTCATACCACATGAACATTCTGAAATACTATGGACCTGGCATGCACTACTCTGCTTCAAAATTTTTAATGCTTTCTTCTCAGAATGAAAATCAAATACCCCTCATACTCTGTAAGGCCCTTTTGTGCTTTGTACCTCACCACTGCCTTTCCATAGGGCTAAGAACAGCCACAAGCCCACGTTACCACATAGCCACAAGCCTAATAACCCAGGCCAAGCCTGTGCCCAAGTAGAAATGAGCCTCACAGGAGTTTGGAGAACTAATTTTTCCTAAGTAGATTTCCAGGAAGTTTTTCTGCTATGCCTGTAGGTGGACTTGGACTTGAACCTCTAACCTTTCAGTCAGGAGCATATTAAAGGTTTATACTCTGCCATGGACACTGACAAACCCAAGCTATGGCTCCTTGTGGCTTTCTCAGGAAATCAGACCTGACCATCCTGATGTGCTTAGCTTCCCACAGCCCTGCTTATAAGCTCTGTGGACAGAGGACATCTGTAATGTGGGACTGCTGGTTACAACCAGATTCCTTCACAGAGTGCGCCCAGGGCCCTGCACAGCACCTAGAAAGCACTCGATAAATGCTGGGACAATCCCCAGCAACTGGGGATAATGGACAAGAGAGCTGGCTAGCAGGCGACTCTGGGGAGATGGTGCCACAGAGGCGGCAGCGTCATGGTGCAGTTCTGCAGCACTGGGAGGGCAGTGCGGGGCAGTGCTCTGTTCTGTTGTTCAGTCACTGTCAGTCAGAAGTGACAGGGTGGCAACAATGCTACTAAATAATAACGGCTCGGACTTACACACAGGCCTCCATGGCTAGAAAAGGAAAGGCAGCTCCCAGGGACTTCAGTCACACTGCTATGATAATACAGTCTATTAATAATGTATGAGTAAGATATTTATCGGGGGGGGGCATTCAAATATTCCAGGGGCCTCTACTCCATCATTCTCATCTCTGACTTTTACATGTGAAAGCACCAAAATTTTAAAAACTCTTGTGGCAGAATTAAAACAGGACCTCATCAGAAATGGCGCCACTGACTGCTCTGCCCTTGACCTTATGGGGCAGCTGCAGCTGACCCACCCACTATATCAGCTGCATCCACGTCTTATATTTTAAGTCTAAATTAGTGTGAAAGTACTTTCTAGATGCTTCTAACGAACAATAGTTACTACAAAAGAAGTTCCTGCAAATGCTAGCACCTGCTTTAAACCTTATTGCCAAACGTAGCTCTGGCTCTATGGCTCTATGCCAGGGCCTCTCACAATCATCTGTGGAGCTCAACCACACGCCAAATCCATTAGGTCAGAATCTCTAGGGAGGTGAGGTCCAGACAGCAGTAATTTCTATGCTTCTCCAAGAACCTGGCTCTATCTTCTAACCTATGAAGCGTACACAAACATGGAGGCCTGTGGCCCCACCCAAGATCTACGCCATCAGGCTCACATTTGGGTAGCCCCAGTGACTCCCCTCACCGGCACCGTTCTTCACAGAGATGAGGGCTCACCGAGTGCAGTGGCTTCTTGTGGCCACCAGGTGGCTCAGGAAACTGGGGCCTAAAGACCAGGTTGTTGGAAACCAAATCCTGGGTAAAGGGAAATACTGGCTGAGAGAAGATATGGATCTCCTGAGGTGACAACTAGCGTTTCTTCTTAACAAAAGCTCTTTCAGGCAATTGCTTTCATGTTATATGTAAGAATAAATAATCATACTGACAAGCTATAACATTTATAAGACAATAAAAATACTTCTACCTGTAAGGAGGTGAGGGTGGGTAAGAAATACAGCAAACTAAGACTTTTCATTGTATCCCTCTTTATAATTCACTTCTTTTCAGTCAGGTGATGGTATTACCTATTCAAAACACTAAATTACCAAACAAAAACAAACACATCCATCCCTGCCCATTTGTGGACAGGAATATTGGTCTCAAATTATTTGAGGACAAGATTTTCACAGAAATCACAGACCAGAAATGGTCTCCTGCAGAGGAAATATTGGGCTAACTTTACTACAGCTCAGAGACATAACACATCAAAGACGACTTAAACGGAAATTTTACCTTCACCTAACCACAAATTAACCATAGTAAAAGATCTATATTTTCCCCATTCTAAATAATGATCCAAGAGTGTAGAAATTATCAAACAATATCACTACTATCACATGCAAATAAGTCCTGCTGAAGGTTATTAAGTAACGACTGGTACAGTACATTGACAGGAACTGCCAGAAAATCAAGCTGGATTTAAAAGAGGCTGTGGCTTGGGGGCTGCCACTGCTAATGGATCTTTGCTGAAATCAAGGCATACCAGAAAAATGCTTATATATATGCCTTTGACTACGCAAAGACATTTGACTGCGTGGTCATAATGGGTAAAACTGATAAGAACGGAAATCTCAGAACCCTTAACTGACCTCATTAGGAACCTATATATAGAGTAAGCAGCAGTTGTCTGAACAGAATAAGGGAACAGTGGTTTAAAACTAGGAAGATTGTGCGTCAGGGTTGTATGCTTCTCCATAACTATCCAATCTAGTCATAGGGCCAGAGGGCTCCTTGGAGGCAAGGACGACAAGGTGTTGTTTTTCATACTTTTGACGTGTAGCAAGGCAAGACTATTCCTTGGAAAGGGACATCATGCTTGGAAAGATGGAGGGTCAGTGAAGGAAAGGGAAGACTCTGAACAAGATGGACTAACACTGTGACATCAGAGGGAGCTCTGGTGGCCTGGTGACAAGAAGCTGCGCTCTAATCCCAAAGGCTCGTGATCTGAATCCACCAGATGCTCCACTGGAGATAGAGGGGCAATCTCCTCCTGTGCCAGTTGGATCTGATTCAATGGTACACACACACAAGAAATTAAAAAGAATACTGTGACTTCAGCAATGGGCTAGTGTCTCAGAGATGATGAAGATGACCCAGTATAAGACAGGTTTCAGGTTTGCTGTTCAGAGGGTCGCTGTGAGTTGTATTCTACTTGATGGCACCTAACAACATCATCTGAGCAAATCATTTGAGAAGCTGGACTCTATGAAGAACATGGCATCAAGATGTGAGGAAGACTCATCAACAACCTGTGCTGTGCAAATGATGCACCTTGTTTGTGGACAGTGAAAAGGACTTGAAACACTTGCTACAGAAGATCCTACAGAAGATTACTACAGCTTTCAGGATGGATTACATCTCAACATCAAGAAAACAAAACTCCTTAGCACTCGACTTGGAGGAAACATTATGATAGATGGAGAAAAGATTGAAGTTGTCAACAATTTTCTTTTACTTGGATCCATAATAACCCATTGTAACAGTCAAGACATCAAAAGACGTACTTCACTGGAGAAAACTGCTTGCTGTCAAGAACTTTTTTTTTTAATGGTGAAAGTAAAGACAGTTTATTAGAAAAGATGTATCTCAGGTAGCTCTGGTGGCCTAGTGGCAAGAAGCTGCACTGCAATCCCAGAGGCACAGAGTTCAAATCCACCAGATGCTCTGCTGGAGAAGGAGGGGCAATCTCCTCCTGTACCAATCAGATCCGATTTGACGGTACACACACAAAATACAATAAAATTTAAAAAAATTTAAAAAAAAAAAGAAAAGATGTATCTTAGAGGGAGAGACTCGCTTAAGACAAGTCAATCCCTGGAAGTAAAGAAATGGACAAAGGTCTGTCAAGAAACTCCACGTAGTGCTAAAGAGCAAGGATGCCAGTTTAAAGACTAAGGTGTGCCTGATACAAGTCATGATATTTTCAACTACTCCTATGCATCTAAAAGCAGGACAATGAATAAGGAAGACTAAAGATGAATCAACGTCTCTGAATCGTGGTGTTGGAGAAGAAACAGTGAATAGACCATGAATTACCAGGAGAACACACAAATCTGTCTTGGAGCAAGTACAGCCAGAGTGCTCCTTATGGGCATAAAGAGGGTGAAAAGTCACTTCATACACTTCGGGTATGTTGTTAGAGGCGTCAGTGAAGGTCAATGAAAGGCAGGAAGATTCTTAACAAGGTGGATGGACACAGTGACTTTAACAATGGGCTCTTGCACAATGGAGATTGTAAAGACAGAGCAGGATAGGGCAACATTCAGATGTGCTGTTCACAGGGCTGCTATGAGTTGCAGTTGACTGAACAGTACCTAACAAGAAGAAGCAGCAAATAAGGGCTAGGATGCTGGAACACTGCCTGCAAGGGAGCATGACTGAGGATTATCTCAGCAGACTGAAGTCTGGGTGTCACAGATGCTACTTGAGAACAGCTTTCCTCTGGGTCAGAAGCTCTCAGCCGCTTCTGGCCAACTTCAGGGGCAACGTGAGGAGTCTCTGACTCAGAGCCCCCTCACTGTGGTGTGGGGAGCCTTTGCTCAGCACCTGGGCTGTCATTTCTCTGCCCCAGGCCTCTGTGCCAGCTCATCACCTGCTGTACACAGGTCTCTCCTTGATGTACCGATTTTTTTAAATGGAAAGCTGTCCCGGAGAGAATGGTTGACTCTCCCCTGGAAACCAACGAGAAGGCAGTCAACTTCGTAACTGAGAACAGAGAAGACAGCATAGCCAACCTCATGATCCTGCTTTACAAATGTTCCCAGTGCAGAAAGGAAAATCTATCTTCAAGAGTCACCTTAAGAACTGGAAGCATTTTCATCTACACAAGCTGATGGCCATAAGTCATTTGTCAATATAATGGAGGGGGAATGTTCTAAAAAGGCTTCTAAGCATGTTGTGAGGTGTCGCTGAGCCAGCTACGACTCACTGCGACCTTATGAATGACAGATCTGAACCCTGCCTCATCCTGAGTACACTCAACGCACAGAGAGTGAGCCTGTCACATCCCACAAAGCGGTCTAACCACACAAGAAGCTGAGAGGTCTGTATCTGGGAATTTGATGCACAGAGAACCTCAGATCCCTACGAAGCACTCCGATAGTGTCCTTTCAGAAAGACCTCTACAGATTAAGACTCTAAACCAGTAAGAACCAGGAGGAAACGACTGTGTGACAGAACAGAGTAACAGTGCTCTGGGGCTGGCCGTGACCATGGCTCTCTGGAAAGACCCAGGTCTCTAACCAGCTCACTCTGTCTGTATCAGAAAACCAAGGCAGGGAGAACAGTGGAGGTATTGGCCAAAAATTCATTCTAAAATCACTATAAGACACTGCTCCACTGAAGCTTTATGATGACTTGTGGATATTACTGGAATGATCCCCCTAACCAGGCACAACGCTTCCTGAACAAGATCTCACCAAACACTAGCTCCTTGACATGTTTCCCCCAAATTTAGTCCCAGGTCAAAAGAACTCCCTTGACGGATGTTCCACAGTATACAGACTATCTCCTGTTTTGAGAATTAAAAAAACAAACAAAAATGGACAGGCTGAAAAGTCTTGCAGAAAAGGAAATTATTCTACTCAAGCAAAGGCCAAGCTAACACTTATTCCTTGCCCTCCAGGCCCATGGAGGCCTTTTCCAGTTAAAATCCTGCTTGGAAATACAAAATGCCACACAAGGGATCGTTTCATCTTAAGCTGTAGATCAGGTCCTCCACCTACAAGCCGCTGCCCACCATCCTTCTATAACCTCCCCAGCGCCTGGCCCTGCTGCTGGTCTCTCACTGTTCTGGGCTTGCTTTCTTGAAAGAATCCCCAGAAGAATACAAAGGTATAAAATGACAAGTCGGGCCCTCCCCGGCACTGAGGAGGGGTGCTGGACACTCACTTCCACAGCTGCGCGTTCAGATGCTTCTCCACCATGAGGTTGAGGGCGCAGCGAAGCCGGTTCCACCTGGAGTCAAACACGTAATAGCCTCGTCCCATCTGTCGGCTCCCAAATGTGCAAAACTGCAAGAGAGAATATCCACGCGTGCTTCCCACCTCTGCCGCTGCCCGCGCGCCGCAGGCTCCTCTCCTCACAGTGACAGACAGAGCTGACTCGGAGTTCTGTAAGCTATGAAGCATGAGAGTGACAATGCCTACCCTGAGTAACGTGGAAGAGAAAGGGAAAAGCAGGAGACAGCCCCCGAACACAGAGTGTGCCGCCTCGGGGCACCCTGTTCTCACACCTGGACTGAGGCCCTGGCGTGCCCCCCTGCAGTGCCCTGTCCCTACTGCGTGGGGAGGGTCGACACGGGGCGGACGTGGAACTTACAGATGCTGGCTGAGGATGATGACCTGAATAATGACAGTCCAGTTTTTCAACAGACTCTTCTTTGTCATCGCCTTCGCCCTCCTCACTGGATAACCGAGAAGCTGGCTCAGTGGCAGGCAGGGGAGGGTGTGGAGACTCATGGACTGCAGGAGGGTCAAGGGGGGCACTCCCTCCTTGCTGAGCAGAGCAGCCTGGAGGCCTTGGTGAGTAGAAAGGGCAGCATGGATCAGTCACACGCTCGGGAAGAGCCACCTTAACTTAGACACAACTACGTATCCAAAACCACCTCAGGAGGCCTGGGTCCAATCCCTAACACTGAGGAAAAGCAGGAGCTGCTCCATGGGCTCTGGGACCAGAGGACCCTCTCTCCTGAAAGACGCAGCATTAAGGAGCGCCACCTGCCTCACTTCTCCCAAGGAAACTTAGAACTAGTTCTTTTCCTAAAAATATTGGATGGTTCAGGTAACCTCCTTAAATATTCTCCACATGGGACATAGACAGAAGAGTTATTTAACTCTTCAACTCGGATTTAGGCTGTTGTTGAGTACCATTGAGTCAGACTGACCCACACCTGACCCTCTGGTGGGTTTTTGGAGGCAGTTAATAGCACAGGAGGAGACTGCCCATCCTTGTTCCGTGGAGCAGTTGGTGGCCTTGAACTGCGTGCCTTCAGGACTGCAGGGCAATTTCTTGCCACTAGACCACCAGAGCTCCCACTGGATTTGGGTTACTAACGCAATTATTTGAGAGCTAATTGCCAGGTTCTAAAATAACATGGAAGGGCAGGAGATGATAAAAATCAAGGGAACATTACTATTTTATGCAGAACCTGTTATGCAAGGACATAATGTATTTTCCCTAATTTTTTTTAATAATAGTTTGGTGGTTCTCAAATGCAATGTACTTTTTTTTTATGTTTAGAAAAACTTCCATGGGAAGCTGGCCAAATGACTTGCTAAGGAAGCTACAGCCGGAGGGCCTAGCCATGCCCTGTAGTGCTCCTTGACCACGTCTCCTGAGAAACCACAGATCCTAGGGGACAGGCTCAGGCATACATCTGGGTACTCAGACCTCTAATTTCAGGGATCAAATATGTGAGAGTGAAAACATTCAGTAGCAGCAACCAAGCCTGTCATGTTCCTAAGTGGAAGCACTTTGCTGCCCATGTTTGAATGGCTAACATTTAAGTCCTTCATTCTCTTTCCCTTCCCTCTGGAGACTCGGTACACTGCCCTTACACTTCACCTTGACCAAATACACAAGAACACACACACACACTCCACATTCACTAGCTACCAGATATGTGTGTGCTAAGTGCTCAGTAAAACACTCTGAGCCACTGCTTACTCCAGCACTGACAGGCCCAATACATGCTCAGGCCAAAGTCCCAAACGAATGAATGAAAACATGTTGAAAAATGGATGCTATAAAAACTCAGGCTGAACGCCTGTGAAGTCTGTGACCAGCAATGACTCCCTCCGCTTTATTTTGCAAGAAGCGAGACAAATGAAGGGGAAATTGCTGCCAAAGCTCTGTGAAATGTTCCAGTCACTACCCTGTGGAAAGGATCAGAGTTTAAGCTTTGATCAATGGGGTGAACAGATACCTAACATGGAGCTAGGGGAAAGCAGATAATGCTAACTTTACTTTGTGGCTTGCAAGTGGCCAAGATACTTTCCTAGTTGAAACTTTCTGGTGAATTCAAAACTTTTTTTTCTTTCCTTTGTCAATCCAAATTGGGGTGGGGGAGATCTGCATAGTGAGCCCGCTCTATTTTGCCCCTACATCATGCTGCATTTGCGTTGTCTAATGGTTGCAAGGTGACTCTATGAAGGAGTAGAGCTGGACAGCTCTGCTTACCTTGGAAGACTGGGGGTGTGAGGTTTAGGTTTACTAGCTACTGAAAGCTTTGATTCGGAAGGAATCACTCCGTGAGAGGTTTGGTGTGGCTCCTGTGGAGGTCTAGGAGGAGCAGGATGCAGGTCCCTGAGAAGCGGCGTTGGTTGCTGACAGTCCGGATGGCGAATTGATTCCTTTTCCCTGGTTTTGTTTTTGTGCTCGGCTAATAACACATCAAATCGTTTTCTTCTACCCTGGACAGCCCTCCGTTGGGTTAAGGAATGTGTCTACAGATCGAAAAAGAAAAATGTTAAAAAAAAAAAAAACAAAACCAAAACACCAAAAACTCAACCTAAAGAATCACAATACGTCAAAAATATCTGTCCTATATTTAAAACATTCTTCTCAATAACAAAACATTCTAGACAGAAAGCTTATTCAAAGGCTGCTCAGCATTTGAGAAGCTAACAATCCTAGGAAAACAATCTTTCCCCCTTTTGCTAGAAAGCAGCACATATTTGAGGATCACAATGCATGAGAATTTGGTGTGGTGATCTCCCCTAGGTAAAAGAAGAAATGGCAGCTGTGCCACCTGGATGTACTTGGCAGACAAGTGGCAGAAACACAGAGACAACAGTTAATGCATGTTACATTTCTGTGCTACAATAAATATTGGCTTATATGAACTCTCAACTCTATCAGAACAGTAGCACACCTTGGACTATTTGAAATTTTAAGTGTTTCAGGAAAAAGTTATTTCATAAGAGCGCACCAGAAAACCTCATAGTAACTCAACAGTGAATGAAAGTTAAATACAACTCTTCTTTCTGTATGTGCTGAGAAAATAATCTGAGAAGCTGAACTCCAGGCATGAGGATTGAAGAAGACTCATTAAAACTTGTATGATGAATAAGAGGGAGGGAAAACCCCAAACACACAAAAAAGGGGAAAGATTTAAAACCAAACCAAAATAAACAAACAAACAAACCCCAACTTGTATTATGATACAACCTTGCTTGCAAAGAGTGAAGAGGACTTGAAACATTTACTGAAGATCAAAACCTGTAATCTCAACATTAGGAAAATAAAAATTTTCACCACTGGACCAAAATGCATCAAGATAGATGGAGAAAAGATTGAAGCTGTCAAGAATTTCATTTCACTTGGATCTAAACTCAAAACCCACAGTAGCATAAGTTAAGAAAATGAAAGGATGTTTTACACATTGGACAAATCTGTTGTCAAAGTCCTCTTTAAAGTGCTAAAGAGCAAGGACGTCAGTTTAAAGACCAAGTTGTGCCTGACTCCAAGTCGAGGTACTTTGAATTGTTTATATGCTGGACAATAAATAAGGAAGGTCAAATATGAATGCTGGACAAGGCTTAAAGAAGAACGGAGGCCTCTGAATTGTAGTACTGGCAAAGGGTACTGACTTTACTGAGGGGATGGGGAATTAATCACAGGATTGTACAATTTGATGGGTAAAGGAAATGGGAAAGATCAGGTGTGAAATACAATTTATATGAACTTTACAAGTAAACCAGTATGAAATAAAAATGTTACTAAAAAAACAAAGAGTATTGACTCTCCTGCAGATTGCCAAGAGTAAGTCTGTCTCGGGAGAAGTGCTGCCGGAGTACTTCTCAGAGGCGAGGAGGGTAAGACTTTCTCTCACTAACTTTGGGCAGGTTGTCAGTCTGTAGAGAAGGACATAATGCTTGGAGAAGTCAGTAAAGGACAGGGGGAGAAGCTTAATGGGATGGATTAACACAATGACTGCAACAACAAGCCAAAGCAGAGACTGTGAAGATGGCATGGATCAGGCAAGAACTCCATGTGCCGTACACAGGGTCACCATGAGTTAGCATCCACGCAACGGCACCCAACAACAGCTCCAATCAAAGTGCTATGTAAAGAGAGCAAGTGACTCAAAGCATCCTGAAGACAGCGACGGTGGCTAAGGAAGACAGAGGAATCAAGAATGTGACGCTGAGAAAAGCATGTTATGATGATCAAGGACTATAGGCTTCAGTACGGATTACATCTCAATATCAAGAAAACAAAGGTCCTCACTCAGAGGATCAACAGCCAAGCCAACATCGTGACAAATGGACAAGAGACTGAAACTGTCAATGACTTTATCTTACTTGGATCCACAATCAACACCCTTTGTATCTAAGCAATCAGGAGGTCAGGTGACGTACTGCACTGGGAAAAACTGTAGTCAGGGTTCTCTTCAAATTACTGAGGAGCAATGATGTTAGTTTGAGGATTAAAGTGCACTTGATCCATGGTCATGGTCTTTTCCACCACTTGCTCTGCAGGTGAGAGGTGGGCAATGAATAAGGATGACAGAAGAACTGATGCCTCTGAAATGTGGTGCTGGAGAAGAGTGCTGAATATTCCACTGACTGTCAAAAGAACAGACAGATTCGTCTTGGAGAAGGTGCAGCCAGAGTGCTCCTTGGAGGCAAACATGATAAAGTTTTGTCTCACATATTTTGGGCATGTTGTTAGGAGACACTACCTTGGAAACAGACATCAAGCTTGGAAAGATGAAGGGAAGGTGAGGGACAGGAAGACCTTGAATCAGACGGACTTAGACAGTGACTACAGCAATGGGCTCAAAAGTGTCAGATGGTGAGGATGACACAGGATAGAACAGGGTTCAGATCTGTTTATTCACAGAGTTGTTATGGGATGCACTTGACTAGATGGCTTCGAAGATTGAATAACATAACCTATTAACAGATACATCACAAACTATGTTCATTTAAAATCTAACCCAGCAGAGAGAGAGAGAGAGAGAGAGAGAGAGAGAGAGAGAGAGAGAGAGATCTAATCCAGCAGAGGGCTAGATGGGTGTGTTCTACCCCTAAAAATTTTTTTATTAAATTTTCTTTATTATGCAATACATCCATATGTATCCTAAATAAGGACAAATTTGTTCAGTGCTTTGCCAATTTCTAGAAATAAATGCTTCACCTAAAAAGCCTATTAGAACAATTTTCACTGAATAGATCAATGGCCACATGCCACTGGTCCACTTGCTTGTCTCTCCTTGCAGATGTATAAACCTCTCATTTGTTAATGTCCTCAAGTACTTAGCAATGCAAAGCTCAGTGGCTAGAGAGAATCTTTTCAAAGGTCAGTTTAAAGAGAGAAGGATTTCCACAGAGCTCAGAAAGACATTCCAAACACAAACCGTAACTCCCCGTTCTCTTACTCAGACTACGCTTCAGGAGCTGACAGTGCAGGAGTTCATAACTTAGCCACTGGGACCTGGCACCCTGAGACAAGAGTCCCTCTCACCACTCCCTTTTCCTCGGGTCCATGTGCCTTCTTCAGGCCAGTAACATGTCTGTTCTGCTTTCCTCTCATTTCGACCCGTCACAGTCTTCACACATGCTGCTGCCTCTGCTATGAATGTCTCCTCACCTGTCTCTGTGCAGATAAACAATTGTGGAAGGTTTGGTCTAGTGTTCCTATGGTGAGCAAGCCTCCCCCGGCCAAACTTCCTAACACAGGCTTTCATAACACAGGTGTCTCACCTTGGAACTCACTGTGATAATTTTATACTTACTTGAGTGATTGATTACTGATTAGTATTCATCCCTTTTCTCATACTGTAAGTGCCACAAGGATAGGGAACATGTATTGACATTCAGATTTTACTAAAATGCTCTGGGGCCAAGAGTGAAGTCTGTGCACCCAGATGTACAGAATAAAGATTTCTCCAATGACAGGCAAAGGCACACAGAGCTGAAGCTATCTCAGGGAGAACTGGATCATTAAAAAGCAGAGCAGTTGGGTGGGACAAGTGAAGGTGTCAGGTAGACAAGATGGGAAAGAAGGGCAGCATCGGGGCCCCTGGCTAAAAAGTGAACAAACAACGATCTAACACAAGAGTATTGAGCAGCCACCTGGAGGGAGGGGGAACGACGACTCAGGAAAGGGGCCCTCTACAAAGCTTATTAGATTCTGGCCAAAATGGAGACGAAAAAAGGGAAAAGGGCTGATAAATACTCTAAGAGAGTGAGGCCAGTCTATGAAAGAACAGGTCAGGCACGATGCTGTATTTCCTAGTAGTTTTATTTTGAACTCATAAGAAGTCAGAGCCGAAGACATGTATTAACGCACTGCCAGGCCTAGCACCATGTCACAGACAGCAGTGATGCCTTTAAGAGAGCACATGGAGGACACCCATGTCTGGAAGGAGAGAAGGAGAAAACTCAAGAACCCACACACAGTCAGTTCACCCAGCAAAGCCTCGGCAAGAGCACCGCACAGACTCTTTATAGATGCGAACTGAAAAACATCTGGTTTACAACTATGCCCAGTTTAGAATTTAAAAAGGGCAACCTGGTGAAGAAAGCATCCTTAATTGATCAGAGTTTAAGTGAAAAAAATCCATGTAACTGGAGCCAGGGAGGCAGGAAGAGAGCACAAGATGGAGGCCACAGGGAGTAAGGCCTGAAGAGGGCAGAGGCTCGCAGGCACAGAGAGCTGTCGGCGCCAACTTGTAAGGGAACTGAAGCAATAACAACACATGTTTATAAGACTGACTTTAAAAGTTAAGAATCATGGACTATAGAAACATATATGCAAAGGGAATTTCTGCACTTATTTTAAATTGTTATCATTTAAATTACAGCAAAGGACAGCTTTTCATATGAAGTTTCCATACAGAAATATTTTAAGTGTTTGAAAGTAGCAGATTAGTTGGGAAAAAACACCATTTCCCTGGACACAATAATGCTTGCTAGGCATGGAACCCCTCTCAAGACTACTTTCTAATAACAGAGGTCAGGTTTTATCAGCTCAAGGCCTTTTCTTTATCCTTTATAACAGCAGACCCCATATGGGCTAGTCTTCAAGAACCCTCACAGGACATCCACGCTCCCTGTGCTTAGCAGAGTCCTGCCCTCACACAGCCGAAGCACTTACCTTGCACGTTAAAGACCGGGTGCAGGGCTTCTTGGTATCGAGATCAATGACCCCACAATGTATGTCAGGATCAAACTCTCTTTCTGTCAAAAGCACACAGACATTACAATGGGCTTGCCATATACTCCTTGGTTTATTTTGTAAAGAAGAAAACAGAAGAAATCTTAAGATAGGAAAAAACATGCTATCACTACAGAATCAGTAACACATTATCTCTACCTATACATAACATGCCAAATAGCTATTTTAAAGTGGTGGCAATTTCACTAGAGCACTGAATGTTGGGAAAGACAGTTTTAATCAGCATTACTGCATGATTAATACGCTAAGCAAAATCACATTTTTTTTTCTCACAGCTGCTGAGTCAGAACTGACTTAGTGTTGACCCGCCACTGGGTAGTCAAGGCTGTAAATTACACTGGAGGAGAATGCCATCTTTCCCCCTCACCGCCGCTGGTGGGTTTGAACCGGCAAGTGGCACATAATTTTGGAGTTAGCTGTGCAACACCGTATGGACTATGTGACCTGAGCAGTATCCTAGAAGAACATTAGAAAGTTGTATTTCTGCATTACTTTATTACAGATAGCCTTATTATTTCTCTTAAAGCTGAAGGTGACCAATATATCAGAAAGAAGACTTACAGACAGCAGTTCATTCGATTCCCATAGATAACTGCATAACATAGAGACATTACCAAGAAAGAAAATTCAAGTTACCTGATAATCTTTTATTTAAAAATTTCCGATTATTGGAATTGTCTTCAGGTTTCTTTTCTGGAGCGGGCGGTGCAGGAAGCCCTTTGCCATTCAGAATCTGTCCAGGTGAAGGCAAGATTGGCTTTGGTATTGAGGGGCAGTTAAGGCCAGGCTTGACTGAGGAACTCACAGTAGCAGGACAGGGTGGCCCCACTGCAGATTTCAGTAGTGTGCCATCCATCTTCGGATGAATCTTCTCTACTTTGACAGAGGCCGCCATGCTGTCATGGGGGAAGGAAGAAGGCCAGCATCTTGAACTCTCTGGTGGCCCTAGAAGGCTGCAGAGCCAAGGGTGGAGGGCCAAAGCCAGTGCCCAGGTCTGTGTGTGCACCACAAAGGCCCAGGCCCCACTGGCTCCTATGCATGTCTCTCATGACTATGTTGTTAGAAAAAACTGCTTCATACAAGCCCTCCTGGCAAGACAAAGCCCCAGGACACCATCAGATATACTTAATCATGTCAGAAAAGCACTACACATGGGCCAACGGGAAAATCAAATGCGAGCAAACACAATTCCTGCATGAGGCAAAAACATGAAAAAGGTCTAAAAGGACCAAGACTCCCTAGAAGAACTTTGGAGACTATCATTTGAGACCATTAAGAAAGAATGCATCAAGACAAAGTAAATCTTTGAAACACACACACACACACCCCAGAATTAAGGAATAATTCCAAGAAAAAGCACTAAAGACTTACAAGATCTCCGAAGAGCCTAACAAATCTGAAAGCTGCTGAGTTGAATACATTTTCACTTAATGACAGATATTTTAACCTAAATACATTCCCTTGGGGCCTCTGTGTTTATGTCAAAGGGGAAGACCAATGTTTCACTTAGCGCATACGGAATGAAAAGTTTCCGTTCTTGAAAAACTTCCATTATAGGACTTAACTAAGTACAGGCCACACAGGATTGGTGAGCATTACATCTGTGTTACTAAACAAATGATTATTTCTCTGGAAATCATTTTACTGGGTGAAACTGACTCTGTTGGTGCCAAGCTAATAGTTCGCTATAGTCCAGGTCCAGAGAGGGTTAGGATTGATGAGGTCTTAGACACTGTGTTTAGGAGGTGGTGTTCCAACAGCTGCTAAGCTGGAGAGTGGCTTATGTGCTGCCACGGCATTTTCTTTGGCTTTCAGACAGCTAAGGAATGAACGCCAAACTTTCTACACTGCTCTTCTGACAGATGAGCAGGACTGCGACTTAGCAACCAGGACAAACAGCCCCAAACAGCTGCATGGAGAACAGTCTGACAGCAGTGGGGACGCAGCAAGATGTTGCTTCTCCCAGCTGGCAAGGTCCTTCAGCAGGAGCAGGTGCTGGCCCCGACCCTGGGATTCACCAGGTTATCACAATTTTGGGACTGAGATATAGGGATACCCTCCAAATACGAGCTATGCCAGGAAAAGTCACTTGCAACCAAGGCTGAAAGATGACATGACGAAGCAGGATGTGACTCCATGGGAGCGCATGGCTGCTCTCCCACGTGACCTCATGGGAGCCTGCCAACCAACACTATGGAAACTTGCCAAAGCCTTGCCTGGAGAGTGTGAACTTCTCAGTCTTCGCTTATCACTGCTGTGACATGCACTTCAGGCGGCTGGGAGGAAGCACTGCTTCCCTATTTGCTTTGTAGGCCCCAGAAAAACAGAGAGAGTTTCTGGACATATTCCCGAATTTTTATTGTTACTATGACTAGCGACTGGAACAAGAGCTCATCTCTCTATTAACCATCTCTTCTGCCTCAGATTCCATGACATATATTAAGTCCAATACCAAGAATCTTGCAATATGTCAAGCCCCTCAATAAGGTGGTATGTAACAGAGGTGGAATGTAAATCTGATCCAAGTCATCTCAGCTAAAGTCCCTCGACTTTATCAAGCTTCCTTTTTCTTACCTGGAAAATGGCAATAACTAACAGTATCTATTTGACAGGATTTTGATAATTAAATAGCATAGTAAATACAAAGCTTCATTTCAGTATTTGGCACATAATAAAGGATTAATAAATGACATCTTTGCTACTATTATCTATAAAATTTCCCCAAAATAAGATATGGAACAACAACAACAACAAATCAACAGCACATTTCTGAAACGTCCCCTCAAAAGGCTCATTCTCCTGCTGTGTGTAGGCATACCTAGGAGCTACTGCAGTATCTCATATCCAGCAGGTCAGCTTGAAAAGCCCTTCTGGCCATACTCACATTCTATGGGGGACTCTACTTTGTTGAGTGGGATGCATTGGCTTGGTGTTCCCCCTGAGCTGCTGTTTCTCTTTGGGCGATTTCAACAACTTTGAACTTGATGAGGATGCACTCAGGACGCCTCCACTGGAAGACCGGCTGCTTCCACTTGCACTGCCTCCTTTGCTTTTGGACAGAGAAGGGAAGAAGGAAAACACTGAAGTGGGAGGAACGGCCAAAGGCGGCTTGCTGGGTGAGCTGTGTCTTCTTTCTGGAAAAGAAAAAAAAAGGGGGAAAAATAATCACATTTCAGTCAACACTTAAATGGAATCCTGGAAGAGTAACCTGAAATCAATGTGCTTAGGTTAAAATACACGTTAGTGAGTGAAAATGCATTTGAGTTAACAGCTTTCAAGAAATGGCTTATCTAGGCCACACAGGCTTATTTAAGGTTCTGAGAACTGGTCCTCCTGTTTAGCAAACATGTCTGCATAGAGGTTTATCACATGTACCCATTAGGAAATTAAACAGCCAGCTTAAATGTGTATGGTAAAAATGAACCCCACTAGTGCAGCCTGCAGCAGAGCCAGGAGAATTACTCATTCATTTGCAGCGCTCTGCTAACCGACACTGCATGGAGTTCGTTCTTCCTTTCTAGCTGAGCACCTCTCCAATTTTCAAAATAGCAGAATGTTAAGAAACAAGTTGTACCTTTTTTTTTGTCACTACCCACCAGCATATGACACCAATAAGAATGTTTCTAAGGTTACCTTATCATTCGTTCTGAATCTGTGCTGAAATTTCCAATGAATCATTTCTCTCTCGTTTAAATAAACTCACTCAACTACAGATGGCACAGCTCTGGTTCATGCCGCTAAGATGCCAAAGGCACAAGACAAAAATACCACAAAGAGCTACGCCGGGTTTTGAAACCAGGAAGTAATTCATAGTGAAGTACAGACCACACAGGCTTAACTGAAAAGAAATCTAAAATAAATAAAACAAATCTATCCACTAGAGAACCAAGTTTTCTCAGAGTAAAGCAATCCATACGAATATAATTCCAGAACTGTTAAAGAACGCAAGCATTTGAAACAAGTAAATTATTTGTTAGTAACTTTATCTACTTCAGTGCCTCATGACAGTGGTTTTATGGTTGTTTTCAATTAATCATATAATTTAAAATTTCACGTTTAACTTTAATTTGAAAATGCGTAGCTTAATATTTCTTATGACAATATGGGACTTACATGATTATTTTACAGTTGTTGTTGTTTTTAGGTGTCACTGAATTGAGTAAGATTCAGAGTGGCCCTATGAACAACAGATCTGAACCCTGTCCTATCCTGTGCCATCCTCACCATCTCTGATACACTCAAGCCCACTGCCGCAGTCACTGTGTCAATCTAACTGGTTGAGGGTCTTCCTCTCCTTCACCGACCCTCCACCTTTCCAAGCATGATGTCCCTCTCCAAGGATTAGCCTCTTCTAGCATCATGCCCGAAGTATGTGAGATGAAGATTTATCATCTTTGCCTCCAAGGACCGCTCTGGCTGCACCTTCTCCAAGACATATCTGTGTGTTCTTTTGGCAGTGCATGGGATAGTCAGTACTCTTCTCCAACACCACAGCTCAAAGGCATCAAGCTGTCTTCTGTCATCCTTATTCATTCACTGTCCAGCTCTCAGCCGCACAGCAAGTGACTGAAAAGATCATAGTCTTTTCTTAACAATTATGCGTCCAAAAAAATCAGAGACTGCAAGTACCACTTAGGTGGTTTACTGCCAAAGGCCTTTTTATTTTACTCCTACATGAAACTATGCTGACTTATACCTTCCAGGAATAAGCAGTTCAATAATGCTTTATGAGTTACCTAAGAGCCTACTCTACACTGAAACAAAATTATTATACGATCTATAGACACAAGTCCAATTCTCCAAGAAGACCACATAAAGGCAATAACTAAGCTGGGAAGGTTCTGTTGATTATGCTTTTAAGTCTTCTTGCCTTTGTGTCACTTCTGATTTAAAACAAAACAAAACAAAGGAAAAACACACCAAAAAAAATAAAAGACCAGAAAATACCTGTGTGTAAGGAAGGGAAGAGGAAAATAATTCTAACTTAAAAATGTTCTAAATTCTGCAAAATTTTTTGTTTATTTATTTTTCATTTAGTCTCTCCTCTATGATGTCAAAACAGCAAACACACTTGTAACATCAGCACCAAGTCAGGGCTGTGGAAACCCCTGTCACAGCTACGGCTACCCATCTTGGAGGGCAGCTTTGCTGAATCATGTCTGTGAGGCACAACACTAAGCTGTTTGCTGTTGTTATGTACTGTTGACTTGGCACTGATACATAGCTGACCCTCAAATGGGTTTTTGGAGGCAGTAAATCACACAGAAGTAGAGCGGGCCTTCAACAAACGTTTACATGTTAATTAATTAATGTTTGCTTTAAATTGAATTTCATTAACGTTTGCTCTTCTTGTAAAATAGGAGTGATTTCCAATGGCCCTAGGGACTAGGTTCTCAATATTGGCTACACACTGGAATAACTGAAGGAGCTGATTTAATTATCTGGGGTATGGCATAGGTATTTAGAATTTTATAAGCTCCCCTGTGTGATTTCAGTGTGCAGCCAAGGCTAAAAGTTTGCCCTAGCCTCAAATAATGTCTCAAGGACTATTAACCATGGCTGAACAAGCTAACATTTGTTCAGTGCCGAGACACTACCCTGGCACGTGGCTCACTGCTACAACTTGACCTGAAGTCGTGTTTTTCTAACTTCCATCAACCAAAAGTATTTTCATAATTTTTACCAAACTTTCATTGTCATCATGTTGTAACTCTATAACATTCACATAAAATGTCCTTTTTCTCCCACTAACTTATATTTAAATTATTATCAGCACTATTGTTTTTGGCCCCCACTTCTACTTCTTAAGCCTCAGACCAACCAGTCTCTCAAAAATTCAAATCTGTTCCAAATTCTGCACATTCTGCCAAAATCAGAATGTGAATGCAGAAAATTATCTGCAGCTCAATTCAGTCCAGCTGGAACCCACCACCCTGACTCCTCATTGTAGCTGTAAGCCACACCCACCCAACAGCTTTTCTTCACAACTTCCCTTTCCACTACAGAGAACCCTCCCCCTAGGTACTTCAACCAGCTTTTTTCAGGCTTACTTCTACAAGCAAATGGGAGGTCTTTTTCAAGGCAAAGTACCATGTTTATTCTAATATCTATACATTTTAACCATTTAACATATTTAAACCTATCCTGTCATTTTCATTAGTTTTCTGTCTTTTTGTGCATGTGCCACTGGAGAAGATTCTGCCTATCATACTTGTAATCCTATTCTCAACAATACCTACATGGTTTTTATTATCTGATTTTTACATAGTGCATTAATTTTTTAGGAATGTACACATCACGCTATGGCAGAATTCACTGTAATGCTCAGCTTGTCTCTTCATTTTCACATTGCCATCAGAGCCATCTCTCTTTTTCTTTAATGTCTTTCTTTTTCACCTTTTAACTTGTGATACGGGATGGAGCACTAAAAAGTAAAATTTCAAAGCTTCCTGACATTAAAAGTCAGCTGATATGGAAATGATATTCCAAATTAAAATTATATTTTCTACTTCCAACAGTAATAAAAGCTATTTTGAAAACTAAGAATAGCAATCTAGCATGTGAATTTTTCTTTCAATGAAACTTGAAAATGAATGTTTTTGTGTATAACATGTAACATGTTTGTGTGAGTGCCACCTCAAAATCTTGTTATGCTATAAATCAAATTGTTCCCTTTACGTTATGGTCAGCTAGCTTGTTCTATGAAAAGAGCAGGACCTAGCTTCCTCTCACAAAAAAGCATAGGTAAAACCAATAATTATAATAGAGTAAAACTCCCTTTCTCCTTTGACTCTGAGTCTTTATTTTTCTTAAAGATTTTTAAACTGGATATATACTTTTATTTATTTTAAGATAGTACTTGTCCCTAGATCAAGACAGAAATAGGGGAGATTATGGATCAGGTTTAGGGCTGTCATATTAAGTGAACAAAGTGATAGATGGATGCTAAAGAGTAACTGAACACAGTCTGTCAAAGAGTGCACTTGTCTACCCGGGGTCTGGCTGCAGACCAGATGAGCACATGTTGTGTCTGAAAGAGGAGGGCATTCTAGGTGGTTTCAGTCAGAGATAGACAGGCAGACTGGCATGTACAGAATCAGAGCAAGGCAGACACAGATGAAAGCATGTGTTGGGGGACAGGAAGTGGAATAGGCAGACACACTGACGTGGAAATAGAAATAGAACAAGAGATATAAGGCCTGGCTCTTCTTGCTGCAGTCTGTACACATGATAGTGCTGAACAAAACGAAAGGATATGGAGGGAGGGTGGGTGAGGGGAGGAGGAACAACTCTTAGTAGGTCTTCCAAAGTGGAAAGGAACCAAGAATACCAAGACATGTACAGCCAAGCACAATCAATAAGAGTGCATCTGAATTCCAAAATCAATCTCCATAATAGTCTATGTGTTTCCTACTGCCAAAGGGGCC